GTCCTCCTGGGACCTGCTCTTCCCCTTCCGCCCCTTCCCCGCCCCATCCACTGATGGAGATCTAGCAGGAAAGGCATCTGCTTTGATCTGCAAAGCCAACTTTGCAGTCTTCCGGCTCTGCTTGCTCTCCAGGGAAGGGTGGTCCCCTGGGCCATCGCTCTTCTTCTCCGCCTTCACCATGCGATGCTGGGCTCGCAGCTTGCCCCGTAGGTTGGAGTACTTGCGCAGGATCCTGGTGCTGGCCTGTGTGGGCAAGCTGGGGGCAGGCTGGATGGTTTTGTCTTCGCTCAGGTCCTCAGTGCCAGCATTGGTGGGAGACATATGGCTGGGAGTGGTGGTTTCCTCAGCGTCTGCTTTATCAGCATTCTCCCTAATTTTGGCCCAAAGCTTTTGGTTCTTCAGGTTATTCCGAGCCGGGGTAGTGGCAGCGAACTTCTTGAGGTGCTTCTTCAAGCGTTCGGCTTGCAGTGAGCTGGGGTAGAGACTGGAGGAGGAATATTTCTGCATGGGGACTTTGATGGGGGGGATCTCCCCTGGGAGACGGGTGTTGAGTTTCTTCACGATCACTAGAGATCTGGTTTCAGTTGTCTCCAGAAACCACTGGCAGATGTCAGACAGCTTAAAGGCCTTCATAAACAGCATCTGGACAGGAGAAAGCTTCTGCACTTCCAGCGAGCCTCTACTTTTCCGTGTCCTTTTCTTGCTTTTCCAAATCTCTTTCAGTTTGTCGGCTTTGTTCTTTACCTTGGGGGTCGGCTGCATCTCCTTCTCCAGCTGAATCCATCCTTTCTGAACTTTCATGTACTGGGCGTTGAACTCGGCAATGAGCTCCTGGTTCTCCTCTTCAGCACACCACTCCATGAACTTTGGTTTGCTGTCAGCCGTGTCTATGTCCTCCAACACCGGAGAGTCATCATTCCCTGAATTGCGTTCGTCCCTCGGTTTGGGGATTGCTTGCATAGACTCCTTCCCTGGTGTGCTCTTTTTTGCAGTGTCTAAGGGTGTGGGGGTGTGTCTTAAGTTATAAAACTGCAGGGCAACCTTTTTATGCTTTGCAGCCTTTGCTGGAACATGCTTGCTTCCACCTCTGCTGCTGGGACATGGAGGCGAGTTGGCCACTTGCTCATAGTTCTCCAGCTTGCCTATGTCCCCGGTGCTGTTGGAGCTCTCCCTGTCCTTTGCACTGGCATTGCCTGGTTTCACATCCACTTGCTCGGCATCATTTGCAGACACAGTGCTCTCCAGAGGGAGGAGAATGCTTCTCTTCTCAGAATCAGCCTGGATGCTGATTTCCAGCATCTCACCCGTCTGACTTTGGCTGCTGTTAGCAGGAGGGTCACCTGTAGAGGAACTTTCTCCCTCTGCTACAGTCTCTTCTGCTAAGATGCTTTTATAGGTTTGTCTGGTAGTGACACCATTCTCCTCACCTGGCTCCTGCTCAGCAATGCTCTCTGGAGCCTGGCCATTGCCCAGCCCCTCGCTGGTTTTGAGCAGCACATTGGGGAAGCAGTCGTTTGGGACGTGCGTGGATGCTGCCCCATCCATGTCCATTTCTCTCTTGAACCGCTTAGTGCCAGGGCTCTTGGAGAGTTTGATCTGAAGGCAAGGAAGCTGCACAGAGCTGGAAGAACCAGCATCCTCAGCACAGCCCTCGATGGGTGACTGGGATTGCTGGCTACGGAGGCGCCGGTCCGATGCCACTAGCATTCTCCTGCCTTTCTTTCGTTTCTTGTCTAGACCGTCTTTGGAAGAGACAGAGTCTTTCCCTGCAGAGTTGAAGATGTCGGGTTCAGGCAGTGTTTCCCCTTCAACAGGTTCTTTTTCACCTGCTGAGCTGTTATTCTGCACTGCCTCCCCTTCTGGTATTTCGAGGAGGGCTCGGCTGCCCAGCACAGTCTCCTCTTGCTCAAGGGGGCTGTCACCTGCCGTGCCTGATAATTCGGCTTCTGGTTCAGCATCGATGCTTTTATTCACATCCACACACTGCAAGGTGGCAGGGGGCTCTGAAGGGCTCTCCCTGTCTGTGGTTGCAAGGGCCTCATCAGGAGCCTGACAGCCTGGAGAGCATGGGCAGGGCTCTGCCAGCCCCAGCCCACTGGGCTCTGCATCCCCTGTGCCTGGAAGCTGGGCAGGATCCCCGGCATCATCACAAGCCAGGGGTGCTGTGTCTGCAGTGGCAGTGGGTTGCAAGGGGGACTTTGGCTCTGCAGTGGCAGGGGGGGGCGGGGGCGGTTTGTAGGTGGGGGG